AGAGAGAGAGCACAAGCAGGGGGAGTGGGAGAGGGAGAAGTAGACTCCCCGCTCAGCAGGGAGCCCGATGCGGAGCTCGATCCCAGGACCCTGCGATGATGACCTGAGCCGAAGGCAGACGCTTAACGACTAAGCCACCCAGGCGCCCTCAGACTGCTTTTATAAAATTAAAGGAAAATAGTAGAAAACTGAAGTTTAAAATAGGCTTATAAAAACACAAGCCTTCATTTTTCTTTTTTTTAAATTTTATTTTATTATGATAGTCACCATACAATACATCATTAGTTTTTGATGTAGTGGTCCACGATTCATTGTTTTCATATAACACCCAGTGCTCCATGCAGTACATGCCCTCCTTAATACCCATCACTGGGCTAACTCATCCCCCCACCCTTCATTTTTCATTATTAGGTTCAGTAGATTAAAATTAACTACCAAATGCTCTAACACACACTCTCAGTCTCTCTTCTCACTTCAGTACACCGCAGGAGTTGTAGACTGGGCCTTGGACCACAGTTTGAATAGCTTAACTTTAGAGGCATGCTTGAAAGTGTGTGTGTGTGTGTATTTGTAGAGGGGAAGAGGAATACTGTAGTTATAAAATACCTAATAGCCAAGTGTGTGCATCATTCAGAAGAGACTGCTTATTTTGAACTATGTCCCTCTACCTCAAGCAGGTTTAAATAAGAATTTAATTAGTTTTGTAGAGTATTCCTGGTTGAGGAACTCACTAGAGAGGCAGAAAAAAATATGCCTTTAAATGCTTGCTTTGGGTTTTGAACATGCTTTTGTCTTAAAACTGATAAAGAGCTTGTAATTGTAGTCCTTGATAGATTTTATTTACAAGAAATATCAGCCTGTTCATTTATTAGGTTGCTGGATCATTACTTCTGGAGGATGTATTTGATCACAATATTGTGAAATATAGAAGCACTTTGGTTAGGATTTAATATGATTTCAATTCAAAGGGGCAATATTTTTCCATGACTATTTCTCACTCTAAAATACTGCTGCTGAACTTCATAAAATGAACAATTTACAGCAGCATATATATATTCTTATTTCTTTATGTCTGAATATATCTGTAAGCCCAGAGAAATTCTGAAAATTTGTTCTCAATTTTTTTTTGAAATTGGAAATCACAGTAGGATTTTATTGTAGTCTGTGTGTTTTTACAAGGAACTTTGTAATGAATGATTGACCTTGAAAGTTCTCAGAATTCATAAGGAGTAGGAGAGTAGGAGCCTGGGCCGCAGCTGCAGTAAATTACAACCTAACTGAATATTGGTTATATTCTAGACTGTAGTCAAAAATAAATGAGAGCTTCAGTGTTCATAACTCATTTTTAATACTTTCATATGTGAAGGTAAACTAAGTGCTACTGAGAGTATTGACTACTACGGATTCGTAGATTTACCTGGGCTAGAGAATGCTTTTCCAGGTCGTCTGCTTCATTCTAAGTGATGGCTTCCCACACTCACAGAGCTTCACCATCAGTCAAACATGGGTGTTTAGGAGAGGGCTGCATGATTTTACTCTTAGTCTATACTTCTGGGAGTGGGTTTGGAGGAGATAAGTTTAACTGTCTTAAATAAGTTACAGTTGTGGGGCGCCTGGGTGGCTCAGTTGGTTAAGCGACTGCCTTCGGCTCAGGTCATGATCCTGGAGTCCCGGGATCGAGTCCCACATCGGGCTCCCTGCTCAGCGGGAGGTCTGCTTCTCCCTCTGCCCTCTTCCCTCTCGTGCTCTCTGTCTCTCATTCTCTCTCTCAAATAAATAAATAAAATCTTTAAAAAAAAAAAAAAGTTACAGTTGTGGCTTTTAAAATTTGGGGGATTAGTTTCTCAAGGCTAATCAGATTTCACTCTCTGGCTCATTAAAGTGATCTGATCACTTTAGTTTAATTGATGCCAGTAAGTTATTGTATGTTTGACATTTCAGTTTCACTTGGAACTTTTGCAAGTGCTGCTCATCCTCATTTGAGTTTTTTAGCTCTCTGATTATCCCCCAGTTGAGGTTGGCACAGTATAAATGAGAGTGTTCTTATAATTGTATTGTATCTAGTTTTGTTTTATAAACTATTTGAGTCTACTATTCAGTACAGATAACTTTTATTTTTCTTATTTCTTAGACTGCAACTGGCAACGTGGAAGCAAAAGTAGTGTGCTTTTATAGACGACGAGATATTTCCAACACGCTTATAATGCTTGCAGACAAGCATGCTAGTAAGTTGTCTTTTTTTTTTAATTAAAAAATGTTTTAAGGTTTTTGTTTTCCATGATAGGAGGAAAAACACTTTTTTTGTTACCTGTAGCCTTTTGCTTTCCCATTCGTGTTCCTCTTAGAGTTTAGATGGGAGTAATTTTTTGGATGGTGCTTGGTTTTAGTATATATTTTCTTAGGTTGCATCACATGTATATTAGTCAATACATTGAAATAGAATTCTGTGCTTCCGCAGACAATCAGGGTAGTGTTTTACCATCTGCAGTTTTCAGTGGTGGTTTTGAAAGGCTTAAATATGAGCACATTTATACTTTATTGGTATTTTGGAAGGATATTTTTTTCCCTTCTAAAGCAACTGGGTAATATTTATATTTTAAAAAATTCTGATTATTTATTATATGCATATAGAATTAGGTATGTATGAAAAAAAGGTTTGCCAGAAAAAGAAGTGCAAAGTGATATTTATATATGGTGAACTCCTGTAGATAGCAACTTTGAGCCCTACTTTGTAGATTAACCTTTATTGTGTGTTTTCCCCCCCAATCAACAGCTTTGACATATTTTAGCTCCTTTTATAATTTTTTATTTTAAAATTTATTTTTCATTTTATCTTTTAAAACATTTTATTTTATTTTTTTATTTTTTAAAGATTTTATTTATGTATTTGACAGAGAGAGTCACAGCGAGAGAGGGAACACAAGCAGGGAGGTTGGGAGAGGGAGAAGCAGGCTTCCTGCTGAGCAGGGAGCCCGATGCGGGGCTCAGTCCCAGGACACTGAGATCATGACCTGAGCCGAAGGCAGATACCCAACGACTGAGCCACCCAGGCACCCCTAAAAGATTTTATTTTTAAGAAATCTCTACACCCAGCATGGGACTTGAACTCACAACCCTGAGATCAAAAGTCAAGTGCTCTACCAACTGAGCCAGCAGGTGCCCTACCCCTGTTTTTTTTTTTTTTTTTTAAAGATTTTAATCATTTATTTGACATTGAGAGAGCGAGAGAGGGAACACAAACGGGGAGTGGGAGAGGGGAGAGGCAGGCCTCCTGCTGAGCAGGGAGCCCAACGTGGGACTTGATCCTAGGACCCTGGGACCATGACCTGAGCCGAAGGCAGATGCTTAACAACTGAGCCACCCAGGCGCCCCTACCCCTTTGATTTTTAAAACAACAAACACAATCATAAAAAAAAGTGATTTAAACTTTAAGAAAGATGGGGCGCCTGGGTGGCTCAGTTGGTTGAGCGACTGCCTTCGGCTCAGGTCATGATCCTGGAGTCCCGGGATCGAGTCCTGCATCGGGCTCCCTGCTCGGCGGGGAGCCTGCTTCTCCCTCTGACCCTCCCCCCTCTCATGTGCTCTCTCATTCTCTCTCTTTCAAATAAATAAATAAAAATCTTTAAAAAAAAAAAAACAAAACTTAAAGAAGAAATATGTGGAATATAAATATTTTATTTTGAAGCCATTTTCATCCTACAAAATATATGAGACTAGGACCATATGTATGTGTGTTTTTCAGTTTGACACTGATCTGTGATGCTCTGGTCTTGGGGATCCTGAAGCTTTTGAAGTGTTTTGGTAAGGGAGGCTATTGTGTGCACAGGTTTATTCTGTGTCTGTTTGATAATCATTTCCCCACTGGGTCACTGGTTTGATCAGGCAGATTGGTTGTTGTATAAGTTAAATTCCTACTATATTTTCTGCTGTAGTTCATAATGGTTTTGTATTTTTTTTTTTTAAGATTTTATTTATTTAGAGATAGATATTTATTTAGAGAGTGCGGGGGCGGGGCAGGGGCAGAGGGAGAGGGAGAGAGAATCCCAAGCCCACTCCGAGCTGAGTGCGGAGCTTGATCCCAGAACCCTGAGACCATGACCTGAGCTGAAATCATGAGTCGGACGCTTAACCGACAGCCACACAGGCGCCCCTGTAGTTAATAGTGTTTTTAAATTTTTCCATTTTTTTCTTTAGAAAGAATGGTATGAGTTCTATAATATTTATAAATTATATATTGACAGATTTAGGGCATTCATATTTGTCCTTCCTGTATGAGACCAAAATACTACTTTTTACTTTTTATTTTTTAAAAGATTTTATTTACTTATTTGACAGAGAGAGACACAGCGGGAGAGGGAACCCAAGAAGGGGGAGTGGGAGAGGGAGAAGCAGGCTTCCCGTGGAGCAGGGAGCCCGATGTGGGGCTCGATCCCAGGACTCCAGGATCATGACTTGAGCTGAAGGCAGATGCTTAATTACTGAGCCACACAGGCACCCCCAAAATACTACCTTTTAAAATGACATACTAACCAGTTATTTTAGCTGTAGCTAAAATCTATGAATTCAGTGTGTTACTAGAGTGGCTCTGCAAAATTATTTGGATTTCATTTACCATTTACAACATAAGCTTAAGAAAGGTGAAATGTCTTATTAATATTCATATACTTCTGGATTTAATTTAGCTTCTAATATAGCTTCTAAAGTTGCTGTGGCAAAGGTAGTCTGGTGTAAAGATTGTTAGGGGGTCTGCTGACTGTTCATGGAGAGTCTCAGCATGGCCGCATTTTGGTGCTGTTGTAGGCTTGTAGATGTAGAAAATCAGAATTGAGTAGGCTCTTGGTATTAACTCTTTGAGACCAAATTTAAGTGATTTAAAAGTCAATCAAATTATGTAATGGCAATCATGTAGTTTAGAGAAAGACCGGGGTTCAGATTCTGCTTTGCTAGTTGCTGCTTGTCTTGGGAAAATTTCTCAATTTCTTATTTCCATTTTCCTCACGTGTAAGATGAGATTGAAAAAAAAATCACCTCATTTTGTATTATATATATTTCACCACAATTAGAAAAAATTAAGGGAAAAAATTATGCCAGCATTGATGTGAAGATTAAAGGACCTAAGGTCATAAATAAGTGCTTAATAGATGTCAGTTGGTTTTCCTACCTCCTCAGCAATTTTTTAGATCACCTCTTTGTGTGGATTACTTCTTCTTTTTTTTTTTTTTTTAAGATTTTATTTATTTACCTGAGAGAGAGACCGAGATAGTGAGAGAGAGCACAAGTGGGAAGGAGAGGGAGAAGCGGGCTCCCTGCAGAGCAGGGAGCCCGATGCGGGACTCGATCCCAGGACTCCAGGATCATGATCCAAGCCGAAGGCAGTCGCTCAACCGACTGAGCCACCCACGCGCCCTGGGTGGATTACTTCTATCTACATTTGCCAGTTTCTTCCATCATTTATTGAGTTTACTCTCAAAGGTGGCGTCAGAAGTATCTTACTGTATTTCTGTTTGGTATTGACCAAAATTTCAGGTGGGGAGAATAAAATTGCCTGGATAGTTCTTGCTATATAAAAAGGTTTTAAAGGAGGATTATTGGAGAGAGAATCATACATTGGAAAGGTTTCAAAACTGGATTCCTGGGTGTGGTTGCCACTTAATTTTCCTGAGCCTCAGTTTCTCCACTTTTTTTTTTTTAAAGATTTTATTTGTTGATTTGACAGAGAGAGAGAGACAGCGAGAGAGGGAACAGAAGCAGGGGGAGTGGGAGAGGGAGAAGAGGCTCCCCGCCAAGCAGGGAGCCCGATGTAGGGCTCGATCCCAGGACCCCAGGATCATGACCTGAGCTGAAGGCAGACGCTTAACGACTGAGCCACCCAGGCACCCCATCAGTTTCTCCACTTAAAAACCTTTCCATTATGGACTCCTTTAAACTTTTTTATTATAGAAAATTTCAAACATTTAGAAGTACAGAGAATAGTATAATCCACCTGATGTTTCCACTACTTTGCATTAATAGTTATCAATAAATGACCAATCAATTCATCTGTACCCCTCCTCATCCCCTTATATGGAAGCTCATCAGAGAATCTTACCATTTCATCTGTAAATATTGCAGTGTGTATTTCTAAAAGATACGGCCTCATTCAAACTTAAAGAAAGTGCCAAGAATATACAGGGAACTCCCGTATAAGCTTTACCCAGATTCAGCAATTAACATTTTGTTCTCTTGACTTTATCATTCTTTTTATAGGTATAAATTGAGTCATTTGAGAGTAAGTTGGAGACATCGGTGTGTTTTTCTAAATGCAAGGAAATTGTTTTCAGTAATCATAGTAGAGTAAACAAGTCAGGAAACCTAATATTCACACAAAACCATTATTCATAGTCCTTAATCAAATTTCATGCACCAGTGGTGTTCGTTATAGCTATATATAATTTTTCTTGGTTTAGAATAAAATTCAGATTCATTGTATTTTATTGTTCCTTTTCCTTGTTTTGGAACCAGTTCCTCAGTCTTTGTGTTTTCTGACCTTAACATTTTTTTAAGAAAACAGGCCATTTATTTTGTAGAATATGGCTCAATTTGTGTCCGTCTGATGTTTCCTCATGATTAGAGTCAGGATATGTTATGGGTTTTTTTGCAGGTTATGTTTTTTTTTTTTTTTTGTAGGGTTGCCATGGAAGTCCTATTGTGTCCCTCTCAGTGCATTGTATTAAGAGGCACATAATTGGTTTTGTCCTAATATTGGTTATGTTAGGTTTGGTGACTTGGTCAAGGTGGTTTCCCTTTGTATTTAGTAAGTTATTTTGGAGGAGATACCTGGCAACTATATGAATAGTTTGTTCTTGGTCAATCTTTAAGCTACTCATTTTAGCATTCTTTGATCATTTAGGAATCTGTAAACAGTATTATCAAATATCTACTTAGTTTTCATGTTTTTTCTCTTATGAATTTTTTCTTTTTTATAGTTTGTTTAAATCAAGATCCAAATAAGGTTATGATTGGTTGATAGTACTCTTAAGTCTCTCTTTTTTTCCTTGTCCATCCATTTTTTTTTAATTGATATATCATCCACATAGCATAAAACCCATTCTTTTGAAGTGCACAATTGAGTGGTTTTTAGTATACCTACAAAGTTGTATAAGTATTACCACTATCTAATTTCAAAATGTTTTCACCACCCAAAAGGCAACCACTTACTTCTTATTCCCCCTTCCTCTCAGCCTCT